AAAATAAAAATAAAAATTCCCAGGTGGCACTAGTGATAAAGAACCCGTCTGCTAGTTAGAACCACTTAAGAGATATGAGTTTGATCTCTTGGTTGGGAAGATTCCTGGAGAAGGAAATGGCAATGTACTGCAGTATTCTTGCCTAGAAAATTCTATAAACAGAGAAACCTGGCATGCTACAGTCCATGGAGTCACAAGAGTTGGTCACAACTGAGCTCACACACACACACCAAATGAACGGTGCAAATTTTCATAATCTGGGACGACCTGATTGTGTGGATCACAACAAACTGGAAAATTCTTCAAGAGACAGGAATACCAGAACACCTGATCTGCCTCCTGAGAAATCTGTATGCAGGTCAAGAAGCAACAGTTAGAACTGTACATGGATGGAGAAGGAACTGGCAACCCACTCCAGTATTCTTGCCTAGAGAATCCCATGGACAGTGGACCCTGGAGGACCATGGGGTTGCAAAGAGTTGGACACAATTGAGTGACTAGATGGCATGATGTAAATTAGTGTGAGAGGTGAAATCTAATGTGACTTTGTAGGTGGATCTTTTGGGACCAATTCAATGTACTGTTGATGCCTCAACATGTGAATATTCAGTAGGATTGATGTGTTAAAGCTTGTACTTCACCATTCTGTGAGTGCCATACAGAGCTTCCCTCAATTAGGGAACAGCCAAATGTAAAGAAATGTTGGTGAGACAAACCTCTCTGAAACTTTCTTACCAGTGGATAGGTCAGGAATTAGCATACATGGCTCTACTCTCTAATGTCCAAAGCTTTTATTGTATTGATGATGTCCTATTGGTTGACAAGTCAGAAGTCCCAGTCTCAATGATCTTTAACGTAGTATTATGATGCCTTTTCAGTAGGTGTGGCTAATAAATTCTGAGAAAAACAAACAAACAAAAAAAAGAACTGTACATGGAACAACAGACTGGTTCCAAATCAGGAAAGGAGTATATCAAGGCTACATATTGTCACTCTGCTTATTTAACTTATATGCAGAGAACATCATGCGAAATGTCAGGCTGGATGAAACACAAACTAGAATCAAGATTGCTAGGAGAAATATCAAAACCTCAGATATGCAGATGACACCACCCTTATGGCAGAAAGCGAAAACTAAAGAGGCTCTTGATGAAACTGAAAGAGGAGAGTGAAAAAACTGACTTAAAACTCAACATTCAGAAAACTAAGCTCATGGCATCCGATCCCATCACTTCATGGCAAATAGATGGGGAAACAATGGAAACAGTGACAGACTTTATTTTCTTGAGATCCAATATCACTGCAGACGATAACTGCAGCCATGAAATTAAAAAACGCTTACTCCTTGGAAGAAACCTAGACAGCATATTAAAAAGCAGAGACATTCCCTTGCTAACAAAGGTCTTTCTAGTCAAAGCTATGGTTTCTCCAGTAGTCATGTATGGATGTGAGAGATGGACTATAAAGAAAGCTGAGTGCTGAAGAATTGATGCTTTTGAACTGTTGGTTTGGAGAAGACTCTTGAGAGTCTCTTGGACTGCAAGGAGATCCCACCAGTCCATCCTAAAGGAAATCAGTCCTGAATATTCATTGGAAGGACTGATGCTGAAGCTGAAACTCCAATACCTTGGCCATCTGATGCAAGGAACTGACTCATTGGAAAAGACCCTGATGCTGGGAAAGATTGAAGGCGGGAGAAGGGGACGACAGAGGATGAGAGAGTTGGATGGCATCACCGACTCGATGGAAAAGAGATTGAGCAAGCTCCGGGAGTTGGTGATGGACAGGGAGGCCTGGCGCGGTGCGATTCATGGGGTCGCAAAGAGTTGAACTCAACTGGGCGACTGAACTGAACTGAACTGAACTGGGAAGACCAAGGTGCTGGGTAGATCCTGGCCACAAGGGGGCGTAGTCTCCCTAGTTCTGGGCTAAGGAGCGGCCTCTGATGACCCCACGGTGCCCAGGCTCAGCCTAGCAGGGACTTCAATCCTCTCCTGTCGGCAGTCCAGGTGCAGGGGTTTGATGGACAACAGACCACTCCTCTCTGGGCAGCTCCCACAGCGGGTACATCTGGGGTGCAGAAGGCCAGGAGCGGTCAGGCTGGGAGGAGGTCCTGTTCAAATTACAGACTGTGGCAGGAGTGCTGTGTTGGCAGCTTCGCCCAGGAGCCAGGAGGGCGGTGGCGTCTGGGGCATGACCTTGGGTGGCTGGGGTGCTGGTTAGGGTGTTGGGCAGAGCCTGGCTGGTGACGCTGAGAGCGCGTGGGTGTGGCAACCACAACAGAGATGGGGGCCCCAAGGGGCCTGTGGGATCCACTGTGCTGCCCTGCCAGCCCTGCCCAGCCCAGCCGGAACTGGGATTGTGTGCTGTGGTCCAGGCAGAGACCACGGTTTTCATTGAGGTCCACTACGGTCTGGCATTACCTTCTCTAAAAGTAGCTCTTCTGCAGTCAAGCTGAATGGCTGCTCTTCCTCCAAATGACTTGCACTTTGCTTCATTCACGTATTCATTCACTTACTCATACCAGGCCATCAACCTGTGCTGAGTGTGGTCTGTAGCCAGGCACCATGGAAATACAAAACAGTGCGCCTTCATGGACACGTATGTTGTGCTACCATATCTTTTTTTTGTTTTTTTCATTCTTTTTAAAAAATACTTATTTGGTAGCTCCAGGTCTTAGTTGCATCATGTGGGATCTTTTAGTTATGGCATGGGGGAGCTAGCTCCCTGACCAAGGGCCGGAGCTGGGCCCCCTGCATTGGGAGCTCAGAGTTTTAGTCACTGGACCACCAGGGAAGTCCTATGTCTCCATATTCCATATTTTTATTCACACTTTTCTCCCCATCACCCTCAGTCTGGCCAGGTTTTACCACTCTTGGAGACTTCCTCAAACCTCACCAGCTCCAGGAAGTCCCTTCTGATTACTTCACACGGAGGAAAAGTACCTGGTTTGTCCCATTCACTGTTACATCCTGAATGCCTAATACCATCCCTGGTGTAAGGAGGGGCTTGATAAGTGTTTGTTGATTTGAATGAATCAGGTGATCTTGTCTGTCTCAGATTTCACAGTCCAGATTGCCTAAAACTTTCGCTTGGCAAGTCATCAGATCCCGCCTGTGACATCTCTCCTACTCAACTGCTGTGTTTATTACCACCCGATGCTTTGTGGCTGGGTTAGGCAGGTCTCTTCACTCACAAGGGATGGGAAGGAATTTATTGGCTCATTTAAACACATACTAGGAGACGGGCAGGAAGGGTTGAGCCTACCTTACGGGATGACCTGGCTTCCCTGAGAGCTCAGTTGGTAAAGAATTCGCCTGCAGTGCAGGAGACCCCGGTTTGATTCCTGGTTCGGGAAGATCCCCTGGAGAAGGGAAAGACTACCTACTCCAGCATTCGGGCCTGGAGAATTCCATGGACTTCAGTCCATGGGGTCACAGAGTCAGACATGACTTTCACTTTCACTCTCTTAGGGGACAACAGCAATCTGGGACTATATCAGGATCCCCTGCTATTCACGATGGCTTCTCTCTTTGATATCTTTATCCCTTGCTTTTGCAAACAGGCTTTCTCCATCCAGAAGATGGCTGTCAGTGGTCCGGACTTAACATCCTTCAAGCTCACCAAATCCAAGAAGAATAGGATTTTCCTCTCCAGCTCCAATTTTGAAATTCTGGTAAAAACTCTGCTAGACTTGTTTTTTTGTTTTTTTTTTATTCCCTACCTTTCTCTTGGACCAGTCACTGTAACCAGGGGCAGTGATGTAGGTTGATTGGCAGCCCTTACATGATTGGCTGAATTGGACTAGAAAAAGGGCAGTTGATCCCCCAAAAGGTGATTAAGAAAAACAGATGTGGCCTTTGGGAAGAGCTGAGGCCACCACCCTGATGGGTATCCACAACAGTGGTGGTACCGTGTTCTCATGTATCAATATATTCGGTGATACTGGGAAAACATACATGTACATAGTGCCTTTGCTGATAACAAAATCTTGGTCAATATTGGCTCATTTACAGGTAAAGGAGTTTAGTGTCTTGTTTTGTTTTGGGCTGAAATCCCCAGTGGATCTTCCCTGCACTTTGCATGAGCTGTCTGTCTTGTCACAGCTGCTATGGGTGGGTTGTCAGTCTCAGAGTGTGAAACTGGAGACAATCCTGGAACCTGTGACTTCTGGTTTTCCTTCTGAGAAAACCTTCCAAGCCGAGCAGTGTGAGTAATATTGGCTTTTTGTCTCAAAAAGGAGAATGGCTCTAAGATTGGTTTTTCTATTTGTGTTTCTTTGTTTGTTTTGGTAAAAAGCAGAGATGGCAATTTTGTAAAATGGAGTCTTGTTAGGATGGTCTCAGGAATGGGGCCTTTTGAAAAGATATTGTTCAGTTGCTAAGTGCGCGACTCTTTGCCACCCCACAAACTGCAGCACGCCAGGCTTCCCTGCCCTTCACCATCTCCCAAACTCATGTCCTTTGAGTTGGTGATGTCATCCAACCATCTCATCCTCTGTCGCCTCCTTTCAAAAGATGAGGCACTCCTATCAGAAGAGCATGAGGCTTTCAATAGCCCTATTGGATAATGTTATTGTACTTATTTTTTTGATGAGGAAACTGAGGCCCAGTGATGGTAGCATGGTCACAGAGCTATAGGAGGTGGGGAGCAAAACCTGTCTGGATGGGGAGCCATGTGCCAGAGGCTTTGTATATCTCATATCATTTAATCTGCACTGCAGTCCTCTGAGACCAGAACAAGATGACAAGCTTGGAAAATTTTAAATGCTTTGCCGATGGTCACAGGCACAAGTAGGGCTGGGATTCATTGATTCAAAAGCCCATATTATTTTCTCTTCCTGATACTGCATGACCTGGCCCAGGTCAGTTTATCGCCATGTGCTTCCATTTCGTAATCTGTAGTAGGTGAATAATTAGTAGAGACCTCCTGGGTTTGTTGGGAGGGTTAGATGAATTGCCTCTTACACGTAGAGGACCTATTGTTGTTTGTTGTTATTGTTATGTCACAAGACCTCCCTCCCGGTAACAAGTCAGGCCACTCCCTTTTGCAGAAAAACCAGATCCCGTGGGAGCCCCTTCCTGGCCCAGGTGCTCCTGAGGCCCGGCTGCAGGTGCCTGGGAAAGTTTGCAACGGGCAGCTAGGGAACAAAGGCTCCAGGTGCTGGGTGATGCTTTGTCTGGCGGCAGGCCTGTTTCCTGCTCGATCAGGTTGCTCTCGGCTGGCTCAGCTCCTGGCGCTGACTGCCCTCGCCCCCCCATCCCTGCCAGCTGAGGGCTGAGGACTGGGCCTGGTGATGCAGGACAGGGCCCAGCTGGACAAGGCCCTTCCTTTCTGGAGCCCAGCCCAGGGATCTCACTGGCTGAAGCAGGAAGCCTTGGAGCACTGGGCCCATCTTCTGGCTCCCTTCCCATCCTCCATCTATGGGGTGGCCCCGTGGGGCGGAGAGAGGCTGGGCCTGGGGGCCAGTATCTGAGACCTGGGGTTGAATGCCAGCCGGGGAAGGAAATAGTGGGTCCCCCTAGGCAAGTGACTTTTTCTCTATACCTCTCAGTTTCCCTAGTAGGAACTAGGGACCCCATGGACTGTTCAGGAGGTTGGGCTGGTTCCTGGATAAAGCCCTTGAAGGCCCTAAACATTTCTCGGGGCCCCCAACACAGCCTGTGAGAGACAGAACTCCCAACCCTTTGGAGGCTGATATTAGTACAACACAAAACGAAATCCTGTGTCATTCCCCTCTCCAGAAAACACGCTGCAAGCCCTGGCTTGTGGCCCTGCCCGCCCTACCCCACTGCAGCTCCAAGCTGTCAGCTTCTGCAGGTTCTGTGACCAGGAGTCTCTTCCTGCTTCGGGGCTTTTGCACTGGCCATCCCTTGGCACTGGGACACTTCGTGCTCTGGGTCTTCTGGAGGCTGTCCTTGTCACTTGGATCCTAGTTCTCAGGTGTCACCTCCTCAGGGAAGCCCTCTTTGGTCACCCCCTTAACCTAGCCCCTATCTCATCCCTCCCTAACAACCTCATCCTGTTCCATTCACTAGAAGCACTCACCTCTCTCTGAAGCTGTGTGGCTGTGTGTGTCCCTAAGTGCCTGACTTCTTTGCGACCCCATGGACTGTAGCCTGCCAGGCTCTTCTGTCCTTGTTTTTAATTTGTCTCCCTTTCTGTTGTCTGCCTCTCCACTGGAACATAAGCTCCAAGAGGGAAGGGCCTAGTCTTTATTTCTTTCTGCTGCCTCCCCAGCTCTAGAACAGTCCCTGGTGCTCAGGAACTCTCTCTAGATACCCGCTCTGTAAAACTCACTTTAAAAAATATGTTTATTTGTTTAGCTGTCCTGGGTCTTAGTTGTAGCATGCAGGATCTTTAGTTGCAGCAAGTGGGATCTAGTTCCCTGACCAAGGATCAAACTCAGGCCCCCTGCACTGGGAAGGTGGACTCTTAGCCACTGGACCACCAGGGAAGTCCTATATAAGACTCACTTAAAATTTTATTATTATTATTATTTGTTTATTTGGCTGCTCAAGGGATATTTTAATTGCAGCATGTGGGATCTAATTCCTGGTCGAGGGATCAAACCCAGGCCTCCTGCATTGGGAGCACAGCGTCTTAGCCACTGGGCCATCAGGGAGGTCCCAAGACCCACTTTTGAATGAAGGTCTCGGTGTCCCTCATGCCTCTGTGGTCTGGGCAGTGGACCGGAGCTGTAGTGAAGGAGCTCTACAGGTATGAAGTTGCTTTGATTTCCAAAACACTTTCATACACAGTGCCTCATCTAAACCGCATGTCACACCTACCTGTAAGACAGGTCGGGCAAGATCAGAAGCCCCGTTTTATAGACGAGAAAATTGAGGTGCCCAGAGGCTTAAGGAACATGCCTAAGGTCATATGCGTCATAGGTGCCAAACCAGGACTAGAGACTTCAGAAACTCTTTTCAGGACTCCAGACCAGATATGAGAATGCCTTAAAAGAGAAAAATCCACATTCCAAACCTATTTTTCCCTTAGGTTGTCTTACAGATAAGCACATACTCAGAATTACTGCATGAGGGGGTAGTACTCTGGTCTCCAACTTTCTTTTTCCCATTTTATTTAATTTTTTAAATTTCATTTTATTTTATTTTTTTTAAATTCTTTTTTAATTGAAGTACAGTTGATTCTAAGTTCTTCTTGAGCTCTGTGATCTATATGTAATCCTTGAGTCACATCCAGGGAAACTCTAAAGTATGCCCTCTTTCTTGGCTGAGAAACCCCAGTTTCTTCCCTACCATGGAATTATAGCAGTGTCTCTAAATAGTACAGGCTTCCCAGACGGTGCTAATGGTAAAGATTCCGCCTGCTACTGCAGGAGACATGAGAGACTCGGGTTGGGAAGATCCCCTGGAGGAGGGCATGGCAACCCACTCCAGTATTCTCACCTGGAGGATCCATGGACAGAGGAGCCTGGCAGGCTACAGTCCACGGGGTCTCAAACAGTCGGACATGGCTGAAGCAACTTAGCACGCACGCACTGAAGAGAAAGGATGGAAAGAGGTCTTGATAGGCATGTGACCATTGTTTTCAGTCCAGTTACTCTGGGAATGTAATGCAGGTAAAGCCTGCATCAGCCACTCATAGACCCTCCACTGGGGGGCCATTCAAAATTACGAATGTGATGAGTCATTCGACACCTTCCAATGAATGAGACCAACAATTCTAACCCTCTTGGCACTCTCTTTGAACAGCTCTCATCTTTCTCAAGCTCCTAAGGATGTATGTCACAGCCCTTCCCCAAAGATTGTGTGGTGGCACTGGGAAGAAAACCGAAAGGTGAGATGACTTGTTTATGGAGAATTGTCAGTGAGTCAGAACTCACACAGAGCTCTGGAGTTTCCAGGCCGTTAGCTTATCTTCCTGAACATATGAGTCAGGGTCAGTCCAGCCCAGGTAGTACCGGTACGTGCTTCGCCTGCCCTGCTCTTCCGGGCCAGCACCCAGCCTTCACGCATGCACACGCACAGGTGCCCTTCAGCCTCCTTCTCTGTACATCCTGGGAGGGGTGCGGGCAGGCTTGGCTTATTCATCTCTCTTCAGGAGGTGCCCTCAGCCCTCTTAAGAGGGCTGAGCTCAGGCCAGAAACTAACCGCAAGATCTGAACCAAAAAAAGAGAAAGTAAATAGTAATCCTTCCTTTCCATAAATGTTGCAACAGCCTAGCTGTAGCTTGGAGCATGTATTTCCAGAATAACCAGAAACAACCAACGTATTTGTCAATAGTAGTCAGTTGTAAAACATTATGGTATATTCAGAGAATAGAATACTATAAAGCCATTAAAATTAATGAAATAGGGACTTCCCTAGTGGCACAGTGGATAAGAATCCATCCACCAGTGCCTGGGACATGGGTTTGATCCCTGGTCCAGGAGGATCCCATATACCTCGAACTAAGCCAGTGTTCCACAATAAGAGAAGCCACGGCAATGAGAAGCCCACATGCTGTGACTTGAGTAACCCCCACTTGCCACAACTAGAGACAGCCCGAGAACAGCAAGGAAGCCCAAGTGCTGCAAAAAGTAAATTAAAAAATAAAAAAAGAATAAAAGAAGTTGCATAGCAGGGTGTGTATTATGCTCTCAATTGTGTGAATGTGTATTATGACTTTTTTTTTAACTTTTCATTTTGTATTGGGGTATAGATGATTAACAATGTTGTGATAGTTTCAGGTGAACATCGAAGAGACTCAGCCATCTATACATGTACCCATTCTTCCCCAAACTCCCCTGCCATCCAGGCTGCCGTATAACATTCTACAGAGTTCCCTGTGTTAGACCCTAGGTTCTTGCCTGGTATCCATTTATGACTCATCTTTTTAAATTATAAATAGATATCTTGTTAAAGGATAAACTATAGACCAAGACATGAAACTTCCCATCACCACTTGCAGCAGTCAGGATAGACTAGGTTATGATGTGGTAACAAGCACCTCTAAACATCTTTGGCTTAAAACAACCAAGATTTATTTCTTGCCCATACTTGAATTCCCAATGTGGCTTGCATAGGCTCAGGACTTTGTTTTCAGCACCTTAGTCATCATTAGGCTTTTATGAAGTCACCATCCCCACAAGAGGCTTCAGGGTTCACCACTGCCATGGAAGAAGGCATGAGAACCGCACAGGGGTTCTCAAATCCTGCCCCGCCCCCAAAGGGACATGTGTCACTTTCCCTCACGTTTCACTGGCCACAGATCATGTGGCTGCACCTAACTTCCAGAGAGTACAGTCCTCCTATGTATCCAGAAAAAGGAGGCTAGGAATACTGGTGAGCTCTGGTAGTGTCTACTACCCACTGCAAACCAGCTGCATCTTTCGAGGCTTTTGTGTTTACGTTGATATATCAATAACCTCAGATATGCAGATGACACCACCCTTATGGCAGAAAGTGAAGAACTAAAGAGCCTCTTGATGAAAGTGAAAGAGGAGAGTGAAAAAGTTGGCTTAAAACTCAACATTCAGAAAACTAAGATCCTGGCATCCAGTCCCATCACTTCATGGCAAATAGATGGGGAAACAGTGGAAACAGTGACAGACTTTTTATTTTTCTGGGCTCCAAAATCACTGCAGATGGTGACTGCAGCCATGAAATTAAAAGACACTTACTCCTTGGAAGGAAAGTTATGGCCAACCTAGACAGCATATTAAAAAGCAGAGACATTACTTTGCCAACACAAGTTCATCTAGTCAAGGCTATGGTTTTTCCAGTGGTCACGTATGGATGTGAGAGTTGGACTATAGAGAAAGCTGAGCACCGAAGAATTGATGCTTTTGAACTGTGGTGCTGGAGAAGACTCTTGAGAGTCCCTAGGACTGCAAGGAGATCCAGTCAGTCCATCCTAAAGGAGATCAGTCCTGGGTGTTCATTGGAAGGACTGATGTTGAAGCTGAAACTCCAATACTTTGGCAACCTGATACGAAGAGCTGACTCATTGGAAAAGACCCTTATGCTGGGAAAGATTGAGGGCAGGAGGAGAAGGGGACGACAGAGGATGAGATGGTTGGATGGCACCACCGATTCAATGGACATGGGTTTGGGTCAACTCCTGGAGTTGGTGATGGACAGGGAGGCCTGGCGTGCTGCAGTTCATGGGGTCGCAATGAGTCAGACACAACTGAGCAACTGAACTGAACTGAACTGATATACATACTAGTTCTACAGTAATTTTAAAGTAAAACACAGGTTTGGTAGTAAGACCTAGGTTTGAATCCCAAGTAGGTTAATTACCTGCTGTGTTT